TGCTGTGCCAGGGCAATGTGTGAGTACTCTTCATGCATCAGCTCATTAATGCTCCCTAATGCCCCGTGGGTTCCATCTGTCTGACCTTGTTCATAGATAAAAACACTGAAATGGAGGCTCTGTGCCTTGCCCAAGATTTGAGCTGAGGTTTGAACCCAGGTGGACGTCCTGAGGTGGGGCATCAGTTGTGGAATCCCCAACAAACCAAGTGATCCACTTGCTGGTTTCTGTGGATGAAGCCTGGATAGAGCCTGGATTCAGGACAATGCACACGGGACATCACCATTTGCAGGAGGCCCCTCCTGTTTCCAAATCTCTCCACTCCATCTTCACCTGCCTCATCTAGGGGATGAGGTGCAGCTGCTGGGCTGCCTCTAAGAACATCCTGGGTTTCCACTATCCACAACCTCCCCTTGCTCTCCTTCCTCAGAAGCACAAGATCTAAAGCTGTCAACTCTGTACATAAAGAGTTGAGATTAAGAAGGAAACACTCAGCCTGGCCAAGAAGTTTTTCCACCTGTCCACTGCCTAAAGACTCAAGGCATAGAGCAGAGGGAGAGGCTCAGCAGGGTCTGAGATTGTTCATGGTCCTGGGAGCCAGGAGGGACCATGGCTGCCCTGGGATGAGGGGTAGGGGCTGCACTGAGGCACAGTGAGGGAAGTCTTGAGGGGCAGGGACTTCAGAGAACTCCCGAGGAGCAGAAGCTGCAAGGCAGAAGTCATAATAACTATAGTTATAGCTTAGAAAACCCCTATAGGCTGCTAACATTTGCTGAGGCTCTACATGCCTTTTTTTTTTTTTTTGAGACAAAATTTCACTCTTGTTGCCTAGACTGGAGTGCAATAGCGCTCACTGCAACCTCCGCCTTCCAGGTTCAAGCAATTCTCCTGCCTCAGCCTCTCAAGTGGCTGAGATTATAGGCCTGAGCCACCACACCTGGCTAATTTTGTATTTTAAATAGAGACGGGGTTTCACTATATGTTGGCCAGGCTGATCTCAAACTCCTGACATCAGATGATCCACCCACCTCGGCCTCCCAAAGTGCTGTGATTACAAGTGTGAGCCACTGCACCTGCCCTCTACACACTTTACAAGCTGTTCATATCCCATTTTAAAGAGGAGGAAACTGGGCCTTGATGAGGTTAACAGGCCAAAGCCACAGAGTCAGCAGCAGAGCCCAGAACTGCTCAGTTGGCCACCTGTGCCATGTAGGGCCAAGGCATAGCAGCAGTGTCAAATTCTGCCCACTCTCAAAACCCTCAAATCACAGCCCCAGGACTGCAGAGCTGTCAGGTGACCAGAGCAACACACTGGCTTTCCTCTAGGTGTGCCTCCTCAAACACATGACCATCAACAAGTGTAGGCTGTCCTGCCCCTGCTTGGTGTGACTGTCATTTGAGACATCGCCAAAATTAGTCTAACACCCAAGAAGAACAATCTCAGTGGAGGGAGCGACTAACCAAGGAAATCAGAGCAAGAATGCAGCTAGTCGGGAAGGCACATGGGTGCTCAGGGCTCCTAGGGCAGGACTGCCCCTTCCCTTTTTCTGGGGAGTGCCATCTTCAGCCTTGACAAGACCTCCTCTTTTATCCCAGGAAGTTCACTTGTCCTTAATTCCACTCCCCAAGCCCAATAGCAGCTTGTAGGGCTCCTTACTGGCCATAAAGCCTCTCTGAACTGGATTCAACAAGGCTTATACTTACTCCTGGGGTGTGGAAACAGGAACATTTTTCCAACAGAGTGGCCAGAGGTCAAAATTTCCAACCTTCCCAAAATGTCTGCCAATATTGCCCTGCCCTACAAGCCCCTTCTCAAGGCAGCCCAGGGCCTGCTGAGATGCCCCATGGCCAAGATGCACATCATTCATTCACCCACCCTAGGGTGTAGGGTCCTCTATGCTCACTATGAGTTATAAGAACCCTAAAAGAAGCTGTGCCTGTGCCCAGGACCCACTGGACCACATCAACATGGGGACCTCACCTTTGCCACTCTCAAGATGGCACCACCGCCTCTCACGTCCCTCTCATGCTTAGTCACTCCCACATCAGCATGACCCACAATATTCTTCTACTCTCACCTTTTGAAGACTTTTTTTTTTTTTTTTTTGAGACAGGGTGTTGCTCTGTCTCCCAGGCTGGAGTGCAGTGGCACAATTATGACTCACTGCAGCCTTGAACTCCCAGTAGCTTGGGACCACAGGTGCGTGTCAGCACACCTGGCTAATTTTTTCTATTTTTTTGTAGAGATAAGGTCTTGCCGTGTTGCCCAAGCTTGTCTCAAACTCCTGGACTCAGTGATCTTTCTGTCTCAGCCTCCCAAAGTGCTGGATTACAGGCACGAGCCACTGCATGCAGCCTGAAGACTATTATAAAGTCACTTACATGGCAAGTGCCACAAAACCAAGTTGACATGAGGTATTGAGAGAACACTTACAAAAATAGCGAGTGTTGTAGTAATTCCAAAAGTGTTCAGAATCAGGAGATGGTGTGGATATTCCTTGTGAATTCTTAGGGCACAGTTGGATGGCCAACTTCCAGATGGGGTTAATAGTACTTTTCTGCAGGGCAGTTGACAGGGGCCAGAGCCTCAAATCATCAACGTCACTTGACCCATCTTACTCCTTGGAATCCAAGAATATGATTTATGGTGAATTGAGAGCTTAGACGTTAAAGAAGCCAGGGCTAGAATCTGGTGTTCTTTCCATGAACACTTTGGCAAGTGGAAAATAGGCTATAGTTGTGGAGTCTGGGGAGTGAGAATAAAGGGAGGAAACAGAGGGCTGAAGCTCAGGCCCCGATATGCCTAGAGAAGGCTCTTGTGACTGATGGGATTAGAATTAGTGATTTTTCCTTTTGCCAAAGACTCTTGACATGGTTTAACTAATTTCCTTTCTTTCTTCCTGCTGCCTTGCCTTGCCTGCCTTGCCTTGCCTTTCTCTTCCTTTTTTTTTGAGACAGCCTTGCTCTGTTGCCCAGGTCAGAGTGCAGTGCGGCAATCTTGGCTCACTACAACCCCATCCTCCTGGGTTCAAGAGATTCTCCTGCCTCAGCCTTTCAAGTAGCTGAACTGCATGTATGGGCCACTATGCCTGGCTAATTTTTGTATTTTTAGTAGAAATGGGGTTCCACCATGTTGGCCAGGCTGGTTTTGAACTCCTGACCTCAAGTAATCCCACCTCGGCCTCCCAAAGTGAAGGATTCCAGGCATGAGCCGCAGTGCCTGACCCTCTCTCCTCCTTTCAACAGGGTCTTTCTGTTGCCCAGGCTAGAATGCAGTAACTGACTGCAGCCTTCAACTCCTAGGCTCCAGTGATTCTCCCACTTCAGCCTCCCCAGTAGCTTAGGCTACAGAGATGCACCACCATGCCGGGATAATGTTTTTGATTTAGAGATGAAGACTTGCTGTGTTGCAGAGGCTGGGCTCCAATTATTGGCTTCAAGCAATCCTTTTGCCTTAGATTACCAAAGTGCTGGGATTACTGGTTGTGAGCCACCACACTAACTGCTGACATCCTGTCTTTATAATTTTGATATTATTTTCATCATGTATTTTTCATGGGTGTTAATTTTTATTGTTTTCAAAAATGGAGCTAAAATATTATTTTGGTTGCTGAGATTTTTGGCACACTCTTCAGTTTTGTGCTCACTTGTTCTAGTCCTGTCCCTGAGAAAGAGGGAAAAAAATGATTCAGGATGGGACCAAAGACTTCACTGACTTCACTTCCTTTTCCTTCTGATCAAATGTACAGCAAACAATAATTTCCGATATTCAAAGGAAGCTGTAAGAAAAGCAAAATTGCCGGGCGCGATGGAGCATGTCTGTAATCCCAGCACTTTGTGAGACCAAGACGGCCAAATCACAAGAGGAAGAGATTGAGACCAGCCTGGTCAACATGGTGAAACCCCATCTCTACTAAAAGTAAAAAAAATAAGTCAGTTGTACCAGTGAGTGCCTGGAGTCCCAGCTAAATGGGAGGCTGAGGCAGGAGAATTGCTTGAAACTGGAAAATCGAAGTTCATTTGAGACAGGATCATGCCATTGCACTCCAGCCTGGCGATAGAGCGTCTCAACAACAACAACAACAACAACAACAAAAAGGCTGGAAGGGAGGGGAGGGAAGGGTCAAAACATGAAAGAAGGGACCAGCCTTTACAATTTTCTTTGGTCCACCACCCTTCATCTGGTCTTCTCACTGACTCACCTCTGGGATCCAAATTGGGGTGGCACCATTACTACTGATCCCCTTAACTATCTTGACGAAGCTATGTAAAAAGTATCTTCATGTTCTGAAAATGTTGGAAATTGCAAAGAACTTTTAATAGAAAAATAATTAAGCTGAGTGCTGTTGCTCACCCCTGTAATCCTAGCATTTTGGAAGGCCGAGGCAGGCAGATCACCTGAGGTTAGGAATTTGAGACTAGCGTGGCCAACGTGGTGAAACCCTGTCTCTACTAAAAATACAAAAGTTAGCTGGGCGTGGTGGCAGGCACCTGTAATCCCAGCTACTGAGGAAGTTGAGGCACCAGAATCTCATGAACCTGGGAGGTGGAGGTTGCAGTGAGCTGGAAGCATGCCACTGTGCTCCAGCCTGGGTGACAGAGTGAGACTCCGTCTCAAAAAAAAAAAAGAAGAAAGAAAATAATTTTTAAAATACCGATTCAAAATTTTTAAAGAACACAGATTTGGTCCCCCTCTGGTCTCATTCACCTCTCAGTGAATAAAGATAGCTCTATGTCAAGGATCTGTTCTGGTATGTCAACACGTGTATGTGCACTGGTTATTGAGTTTGGTAGACTTTGGGAGAATCTTTGGCCTCGTCATGATAATGTTGAATTATGTAAAATATCTGCAGTGGTAAGGGATGTATCAAGGCTGTTCGGTCTTAAATGCCTCAATTAATAGCAATAAACACTGGAAACAGAGACAGGTATCAGGAACGTTTCTACCATGCTATACTCAACACCGAACATTTCTTATACAAAGTAAGGACAAGTAGACATTCAAATGACTGAGTGCTTTATTGCACAATTAAGAAATGTGTAACCATTTCATTACTTTACAATGGTAAAACTGATCTGTAACTTTTACATGAATGTGCGAATTTGCACTTGAAAGAGTTTAGACTTCTATTGAACAAGATGTATCTTGACTGTATCTTTTTTAGTACAAAATATACAAGCAAGTACATGATTTAAACATAAATATAACTGAGAATAGTCTATGTTTCTAGTCAAATGCACTTGTGGAAAGCACTATTCATCCACAAAGATGCTTTTAATAAGCTTTGAAAGGGAGACAAACTCCACAGTGTTGTCAGATTTTCTATTTAAAATTACATCCGTATTAACCCCAATCTTTTATTTTAGGAAAATAAGGGTTAATGGTTTATGGTTTCTTCTACTCTGTAATGTTTATAAAGTAAAACTTCTACTCAAGAGATGAACTCGTGGGCCAGCATAGTGGCACATGCCTGTAATCCTAACATTTTGGGGGGCCAAGGAGGCAGATCACTTGAACTCACCAGCCTGAGTTCGAGACCAGCCTGGTCAACATGGCAAAACCCCATCTCTACAAAAAATACAAAAATTAGCCAGGTGTGGTTGTGAGTGCCTGTAGCCTCAGGTACTCAGGAGACTGAGGTGGAAGGATCGGTTGAGCCAGGGAGGTGGAGGTTACACTGAGACTAGAATGTGCCGCTACACTTTAGCCTGGGTGATGGAGCCAGATCGTGTCTAAAAAAAAAAAATTCCTTCAACAAATACAGATTAAGAGCTTGTTTAACATCTGGGGACACCTAGTTATCAACAAAATTCAAATTTAGACAGGACAGTTTCCTTTTTGAGTAATTACATCCCTAAATTCCTTCTGATTTTATATTTCCACAACTCAGCATCTCAGGATGAACAGCACCAAGACAAAGACTACTGGATGATGAGCTCTCATCTTTTAGATACAGATTTCACCCTGAATTGAACTTCACTGGCATAACTGTATTTTAGATGTCAACTTTAAGTAAGCCTGTTAAAGGAATTATCCATACAAAATAATAAACGATACAGCAAAACTTCAAAGAAAATCAAACATTGGCTTCTTATAATTAAATGATGAGAAAGGTTCAAAAATGAATGGTTCCGGCATGAGTTCAAGACCAGCCTGGGCAACAGGGTGAAACCCCATCTCTACAAAAAAATACAAAAATTAGCCAGGTGTGGTGGCACACACTTGCAATCCCAGCCTGTATTTGGGAGGTTGATACATGAGACTCTCTTGAACCCGGGAGGTGGAGGTTACAGTGAGCCAAGAGTGTGTCACTTCACTCTAGTCTGGGCAACAGAGTGAAACTCTGTCTCAGACAAAATAAAAAATAAAAAATGGTTTCATTTTAACATAAAATGAACTACAATTAGGACTTTATGCTTTCTTTTAACTTCAAATGAACAACATTACTCATTAAATCAAAGACATATTTTCATAAACATTAAAGCCTATCATAAAATTGGTAGCAATTAATGGCTTTTCTTAGTCTTTCTCTCTATATAATCAATGAATCAATCGTTTTCTCCTTATTGTACATAGCCAAATGGTCAGTGAAATTAATGTCAGATTGAGCAGTTTTTAGAAAATTACTGAAACATATACAAAGTTAATACTTAGGGAGAATTATAGGAGTAAAAAAGGAGCATCTTAAATTCTTGCACTTCTTATCATGAAAGAATTCTAAGACACTAAAAGTTTTTTTCCTTTTAACCCATAAGAGAATAATAATGTGTAGGAAAAGATATTTTTGTTATGTAGGCCAATAATTTGGGCTTCAGATTGGAATCCTTTTGAATTTATGTTATTTTCCTTCTCAAGAGAAACCAAGAAGAATAAAATTCTGTGAAACTAGTAAACCATCCCAGATGCCTTCAAATGCTCCTTGTTTATATAGGAACTTCCAGGCAATCACGCTGCTGCCATCATGAAGTGCTTTTGTGTGGCTGGGTATCTTTCATTCACTCCTCTTCTTCTTCTGATAGATCCAGTAAAGTTAGCTAGAGAGATCTATATTTGGGAGGCAAGCAAGAAACAAATACATCAAAGAAATACTATCCAGAGCAACAGTGAACACATGCTTATTTTTTTAAAAATAATGTTTTGGAAGTTGACCAGTGTTTCAGTGCTGAAAGCAACTTTATATATTCTTACCTTTCAATAGAAATGCAGCACCTATGTGTCTTCAAAAGGCTGAATTTAACTTTTATTTTATCTTATTTTATTTATTTACTTATTTATTTTGAGACAGAGTCTGACCACCGTCTTCCAGGTTCAAGCAATTCTCCTGTCTCAGTCTCCCCAGGTGCTGGGATTACAGGCATGAGCCACTGCTCCTGGCCTGAATTTAAGCTTTTAAAGAGACTTTTTACATTAAATTGTTTTTTACCTAATAACCTTTATTTGCTCAGTGACCCACATTAGCAATCTCAATAATTTCTCTTAATATTTGGGATTTTTATTCTTGATATTTGTACAACTACAAAAGTTACACGAAGCACACCAGCAAAAAGATATCAGAACCACAATATTGAGTGTTTTATTAAAGAGATAAATGTTTCCTAGGTACCTTTTAATGCTTTTAGACTATTTAATAATTAGTGTTTAGCAGAAAGTTTTAAATATATATTAGTGGCAAATATAATTATCTAATTTTCATTTAAGAGTAAAAGGCAGGTCAAGCATGGTGGTTTATTCCTGTAATCCCAGCACTTTGGGAGGCCAAGGCAGGCGGATCACCTGAGGTCAGAGTTTGAGACCAGCCTGATAAACAAAGTGTCTCTGCTAAAAATACAAAAATTAGCTGAGCGTGGTGGTACATGTCTGTAACCTCAGCTACTTGGGAGGCTGAGACGTGAGAATTGCTTAATCTTGAGAGGCAGAGGTTGCAGTGAGCCAAGATCACACCACTGCACTCCAGCCTAGGTGACAGAGCAAGACTCCGTCTCAAAAAAAAAACAGTAAAAGGTTTCCAGGTGGTGCGGTGGCTCACTCCTGCAATCCCAGCACTTTGGAAGGACCAAGGCAGGAGGATCACTTGAGCCCAGGAGTTTGAAACCAGCCTGGGCAACAGCAACATATAGTAGAACCTTGTCTCTAAAGATAATTTGTTTTTTAATAAAAATAAATAAGAGTAAAAGTGATCTTTTATGGGAGGAGAATTATTAGTGTCACTATTTCCCTAGGTAGTTTTTTTTGGCTTCCTCCTAAAGACATAAAGGCAGCTTCTTGCTTCATTTCTGGAAGCTTCCACCTCCCTTTCACTTCACATCTCACAGTCACGATGGGGTGTTAACTATGATTAATTTAGCAATACAAATACACAGATGCCTCTTCTGGAATTATGTCTCTCAACTCAGACTGCCTAAATTGGAACATAAAAATGAAATGGGGTGGCATGATGACTCGCACATACTGGGGAGGCTGAGGTGAGAGGAAGGCTTCAGCACAGAAGTTTAAGTAAGACCAGCCTGGAAAACATGGCAAGAACTCAACTTGAAAAAACGTGTATGTGTGCCTGGGCATGGGGGCTTACGCCGGTAATACCAGCACTTTGGGAGGCTAAGGCAGGTGGATTGCTTGAGCCCAGGAGTTCGAGACCAGCCTGGCCAACATGATGAAACCCCATATTTAACAAAATACAAAATTTAGCCTGGCATGGTGGTGCACGCCTGTATTCCCAGCTACTCAGGAGGCTGAGGCATGAGAATTTCTCAAACCCGGGATAAAGAGGTTGCCGTAACCCCAGATCATGCCACTGTACTTCAGCCTGGGTGACACAGCAAGACTCTGTCTCAAAAAAAAAGAAAGAAAAGAAAAGAAAAAATATATATGTGTGTATGTTTGTTGTGTAAAAAAGAAATGAATAAATGAAAATGAGATGGAGTTTTTTGCTTATTAAACTTGCAATATATACATATTTGTCACCCAGGCTGGAGTGTAGTGGCATGATCTTGGCTCACCACAACCTCCTCATCCTGGCTTCAAGCTATTCCCCTGCCTCAGCCTCATGAGTAGCTTTGATTACAGGTGTGCTCCATGACACCCAGCTAATTTTTTTGCGTTTTTAGTAGAGACCGGGTTTTGCCACGTTTGGCCAGACTAGCCAAACTCCTGATCTGCAGTGTTTCACCTGCCCCAGCCTCTTAAAGTTCTGAGATTATAGTCATGAACCACCATTCCCAGCTAAAAAAATTGTTAAATAAATTAAAATGTTACACTGCAAAATATTCTTTTTCTTTCTTCCTTTTTTTTTTTTTTTTTTGGTAACCAAACAAAAAATATACCCAAGAAAATATTGATTTAATGCAAAGAAAGCAGAAGAGGAAGAGAGGAACAAAAAAAGACAGGAGACATATAGAAAAGAAGAAGAAAAATTGCATACGTAAGTTCAATCATGTAAATAATAATATTAAACATGAATTTATGAAATAATCCATTCAAAAGGCAGATACTGTCAGACTGGGTAAAACAAACAAACAAATATGATCTAATCATATGTTCTTTGTAAAGGCGTATTTCTGATTCAAGGACAAAAATAGATTGGAAGTCAAAGGATGGAAAAAGACATTATGCATGCAGCAACTGTGGGAAAGCTGAAGTGGGTATACTAATAATGTCAGAATTTTAAAAATTAACACAAAAATGGTTACTAGAGTCATAGAAGGACATTTATAATACTAAAAGGGTCAGTTGAGGAAGACAGAACAATTATGAAGATATACATACCAAAAAACAGAGCCCTAAAATACTTGAGGCAAAATCTGGCAGAATTGAAAGGAGAAATAGATGATTCAACAATGGAGTCAAATTAGAAATCAATAACAAAAGAAATTTGAGAACTTCTTGAATATGTGGAAATTAACAACACACTTCTAAAGAACTCCTAAAAGACTCACAAGGGAAAAAGAGAGCACTTGGAGATAATTGACAGTGAATACTTAGGGAACACCGCTAAAGTAGGACTTAGAGAGAAAGTTATACCTATCAACGTCTACAGTAAAAGAGAAGAAAGATCCCGATTGGATACCTACCATTTCACTTAATAACTAAAAATATAAGAAGAAACAAAACCTAAATCAGGCAAAAGCAAGGAAATAATAATGTTTACAGCAGAAACGAACGAACTGGAGAGTGGAAAATCCATAGCAAAAATCAACAAAACCAAAGTTGTCCCTTTGGAAATAGCAACAACATTGATGAACTTTATTTAGGCTGACCAAGAATAAAAGAGAAAAGACTCAAACTACTACTCTGAAATGAAAGAGGGGACATCGCTGCTAACCTTACAGAAAAAGATAATAATTATAAGAAAATTCTATAACCAACTGTGTGCCAAAAAAGTTGATAACTTAGATAAAACAGACAAATTCCTAGAAAGACACAAATTACCGAAACTGACTCGAGAAGAACTAAAAATTGGAAATAGATTTATAACAAGAAAAAATGTTGGGCACAGTGGCTCACATCTATAATCCTAGCACTTTGGGAGGCCAAGGCAAGCGGATCATGAGGTCAGGAGTTCGAGGACAGCCTGGCCAACATAGTAAAAACCCTTCTCTACTAAAAATACAAAAATTAGCTGGCTGTGGACACACGCCTGTAGTCCCAGCTACTCAGGAGGCTGAGGTGGGAGAATTACTTGAACCCAGGTGGCAGAGGTTGCAGTGAGCTGAGACCACAACATTACACTCCAGCCTGGGTGACAGAGTAAGACTCCATCTCAAAAAAAAAGAAAAAAGAAAGAGAAAAGTAGATGTGAATCTTTGTGACCTTCGATTAATTTCTTTTGAAAAAATACATAATAACTAAAGAAGAAGCTACCAAAGAAAACATAGACTAATTTGACTTCAACAAAATTAAAAACATTTTTTGCTCCAAGGACAACACCAGGAAAAGACATCCACATAATGGAGGAAAATATTTGCACATTACTTTTCAGGTAAGGGCCTTGTATTCAGAATATATATGTGTCTTGCATTCAGGATATATATATATATATATATATATATATATATATGTATATATATGTATATATATACTACAGCTCAACAATATGAAAACAAATAATCCAACTGAAAAATGGGCAAAGGATTTAAATAGCCATTTCTTCAAAGAGACACAAATATCCCATAAGCACAGGAAAAGATGCTCAGCATTTTTAGTCATTATGGAAATGCAAATCAAAACCACAATAAGTTGTCCTTCACACCCTCTGGGATAGCTACAATAACAAGTGCTGGCAAGTACGTGGAGAAATTAAAGCCTATATCTACAGCTCGTGAGAATGTGAAATGATGACGTTTCTGTAGCAAACACCTTGGCAGTTCCTCATATGACCCAACAAGTCTTCTCTTTTATTCCCAGAGAACTGAAAACATATGTTCCAATAAAAACTTATACGCTAATATTCCAAGCAGAATTATTCATATTCACCAAAGAGTGGAAATAACCCAAATATTCATCAATAGATGACTGGACAAACAAAATGTGTTTTTTCCACACCATGGATTTGTATTCAGCCATGAATTGGTGTGGAGTACGGATGCATGCTACTACATGGATGGGCCCTGAAAACATTAAGTGAAAGAAGCTAATCCTAAAGACCACATATCACAGGATTTCATTTATATGGAATATCCAGAATAAGGAAATCTATAGGGACAGGAAGTAGGTCAGTGGTTGTCTAGGACTAGAGAGCTGAGGAGAAATGGGGAGTGCCTGCTAATGAGTGTGGGGTTTCTTTATGGGATGATGAAATGTTTCAAAATTGATCATGGTGATGGTTGCACAACTTAGGAGTATAGTAAAAGCCATTAAATTGTACACCTTAAATGGGTAAACTGCTGTGTAAATGATATCTGAAAAAAAATCAAATATGCATATTCTAACAATTCTACTTCTAGGAATATTTAGTAAGAAAAAAGTGTACATGTGTTCAAATATTTATGCATGCCTGTTCACTGCAACATTGTTCAAAACAGCATAAATACTATAAAACATAAATATTG